TCCGGCGGGGACTCCTGATCCAACAATGGGCTACGACACACACACACACACAACAGTGCACTTCATCGGCTGAGACCATTTTCAGAAGTAATTGCAATGCACATCAAACTTGAGTTCAAGGTCCTGTCTTTGAATAAGGGGCCATAGCTCTCAAGACTTGCCCCAGACTATTTAATAATGTCAGTGGAAAAAAGGGTGACGAATGCCAATAGAGGTGAATATGTGAGTTCCAGGAAGCAGTTCAGAAGAAGAAGAAGAAGAAGAAGAAGAAGAAGAAGAAGAAGCGATCACTGGAACAGGAGTTTTGTTGTCCTGACATTTAGCATTCCGTCGGTAATCTTTAATCATCAGTAATGTTATCATAGTTATAGTCTTTGCATGAATATGACTATGATAACATTACCCATGATTAAAGATTGCCGACGGAATCCGAAACGTCAGGACAAAAAAACTCGTGTTCCAGTGATTGCTTCTTCTTCTGAGGGTGACGAATATTAGCTTTATTGCAGCCGGATTCTACTTAAGGTTATACTGGCAATCAATAGTACTGGTTTTGAAGACCCCAAATTTCACAACAAAAGTATGTTGGAAATTCGAAGGAAGAAAAGTGAGCGCAAGTCCCCAGTCTCATCTGATAAGATAACAACGGCGGATGAGACCGCCTTTTGTTGACAAAAAAGGTGCTACTAATGCCCTTCAGTATTGCTATGTGCTCCCCTCGTTTTTATTATTTCCACTCAAGAACAGAAGACGAAAACTCGTGGCAGACAGAGCTACCGTGAACTACTGAACACTTATTGCGCGAGTTCGAAGCACGGTATGTCCGAACGGCGTTTACTTCATTACTCGGACTTAAATATTCGTCAAATAGCAGACTTATGCTTCTGGTTGCATTGCGTAGCTATCTGGTCTATGTCCTTCAACCGGGCATGACCTGGGTGACAATGACTAATCATCGAAGATGTAAAAGGTTAGGTGGTTTAAGAGGATATACAAATGAACTGTGCGCAAGGCTACTGCAAACAAAACAAGATGATACATTTTAGAACGGACTTGGAGGTAGCAATTCAAGTGATCGACGATAAAGGCCATTTGGTTCACCACCAGCAGACGTTGATCTACGTCTTCGACCAACTCCTCCTCGTCGTCAGTCGTCTTCAGCACTGACGGATCGACGCGGCGGTTTGTCCTTTTGCCAGTTGTCTCTCGAGCCCAGTACTGGTGGAGGTCCTGCTCAGTCCTGCGAAGTGTTAGGAGGACTTGAAAGAGGCGGGTGTAGGCCTCACAGGCCGAGGGGCTGAAAATTGTTTCCAGTCCGGGTGGAGGAGAAAAGTGCACCTGGAGACAGTCCCAAGCTACTGGAGACTCGGTATCCGGAGAGAATGAATGTGAAACTGGAGTCGTGGAAACGGAGAATCTACAGAAGGAGGGACAAAAGTGGCTCACAATGGTTACCGGCTGACATGGGCGAGAAAACGCACCACATCGCTCTGGTATTTTGTCCTCCAAGGACGCACGCCACAACGCCAAGGACGCGAGCCGAGGTGACACGGTGAGACGACGTAAGCGTGGAATCAACCAATCACTAATGCTACCCTTCTCCTTCCCCAATTTCCTCGTAGCTGAACTACAAAGCATGCCAAACGACGGAGGCTAAGCCAGCCAAAGTTATCGCGGCACTGGAAGCCGTGCTGGTAAGAACCAACGCAACCGACGGGGCGAAGCACACCGTTCGCCAGTAAATCACCTCTCTATTAATGACAAATAGGCCCACCAATAACATGTCATCCGCAGAAGAAGAAGCGAAGAACTTGAAAATAAACAAAGATATAATAGTGCTACTGGCCAACAATGGAAGAGCAACAGTCGTGATGGATTGCAGCAATTACAACGACAAAGCGCAAGCCCTCCTCGTCGGCCAACAGTCCGACAAACCCAGGACTTCCTCACAGACTAAATTGATGATCAGCTAGCTTACCGGGCTCCTGAACTGACTCCGGCGTACTAATGTGACATCGCAAAACGAATGGTGACAAATTAAGCCAACAGATAAGGCACTGGTCCGGTTTTATGGATTGCCTACAACCCACAAGCTCAACGTTCCACTTCGACCAACCTT